CTATTCCACCGGCAAGTCAGAAAAGATATTACATTGCAGCAGGAACTCACGCTTCCTTCCGTTTGGCCGAAGGACCGGGAAGGCCAGTTTCCATACCACGCCTAAAACAAAAGTTGGAATGAGCCCTCTTTCATGCTTCGCCATTTTGAAACTTTTGAGGGAAGGGCGTACAGAAATCAAAATTTGGCAGCCCTTTCCCAAAAAAAAAAGTTCGGGCTGGGGGTGCGGCCGGTTTCCGAGCTCGTGCGGCGAGTTTAATATTTTTGCCGAGTTGGGGGCAACCTACGGGCAGCTATGGCTGCTGTCTTCTACCTCTCACTAACAAAAGCGGCTATGGCCGGGTTTTCCTCCTCTTCACCCACTTCCTTTTCGGGCACCTGCAGACCTCCGTACACAAGACGCACAGTCAGCGCTTCCGCACGGCTCACAGGCAGAATGAATGAATGACTTGACGCTGCCTCTTTATTTATAGTATTTTATACTTTGGATGATCGTAGGTCTGCCCCTTGACCCTGGTCCCGAGGTGGGCCCGGGGTGCACACAGTCCCACATGAATCTCAAGTTCTCAACTTGTCAACGTCCACTCCACGCACAGATTTTTTACAAAGTTTAAACTTTGAAGTTTCATAATAAACTTTCATTGAACCCTCTGCTACTGTTTGTTAGGTGTCGTTTCGTCATTCATTGCTGTGTCATCGCAGGCAACGTTTTTTTTTTTTTTTTTNAGGGCCTTATGGTCCTGGCTCCTTCTATTCTGGGGAGCGTCAGTCCGGTTCCTATTCCACCGGCAAGTCAGAAAAGATATTACATTGCAGCAGGACCTCACGCTTCCTTCCGTTTGGCCAAAGGACCCCTGAACAGCATTGATTACTCCACCATTAGTAGAGGATTGACTGTCAGCTTGCCATGACTCACTCTTCTCTCTCAGACCTGAAAAGACCAGTTCTGCCAGATAGTATTATGTCACCAAGAAAGAGCTCGCCCCTTATTTCTGCTTGCCTGTGCTTCCCCACCCATCAATCCTGCCCATCAGTCAGAGTATCCCTTGTCCTCTTGAGCTTTCCCCCTTCTTTTAAATTCTACTAAACACCTTAAACCCTAGACCCTACCCCTCGCTTAGGATGTATTATTTCCTCTATGGGTGTCTCAGGTTTCGCTTAGCTCAGATGTCTTTCCAAAACTGTTGCCATCTGGTTCCGCCCACTGGATTCTGAATTGTGCCAATCTTTCCAGAGTAGTCTATCATCCCGGAGTTCCGCTACCTTGCCTTCCAACAGCCATAGCCTGCTGAATCTCTTCCTGACTTTATCTTGCATGTCCTCGTCCTCCGGCATCGACCGCCTCTGTCCCCACCATCTGCTCCGGATTTCTGTCTGCAACAAGGTTTTTGTTTCCCCGCATACCTTTTCTCGCGGGTTGGAGAGGCCTTCAATGGTTCTGCCACATCTTTCCTTCCAGATGATCCAAAGTGTCAGTCTCCTGATTAGTCCAAACCACAGCCGTTCTGTCTTTTTGAGATGGTCAGGGAGGTTAGTCCAGAGAAGAAGTTGGATGGGGTGTTCAGGGAAGGGCGAACTAAAGAGAGAGTCCCATAGAGCTGATGCCCTTGCCAGTATTCTGTGGCTTCGCTGCAATAGAGTAGGCAATGTACTATGCCTTCTTGGCTCCCTCCGGTGCAGACCGTGCATAGGTCCGAGCTGCTAGGATCGTTTTTGTGTCGTCTTATATGTAACCATCTATTGACCGGTAGTGCGACATATGTGATAAGCCACTGAAGGCTTCTGATTTTGATCGGTTTTATAGTTTTGTATCTTTTCCAGGGGATCTGGGAGAGGTTGTCAGGTTCCTGCCGGGTCTTTGTTTTGACCAAAAGTTTATATCCGACTTTAACTGTGTAATTGTATATCGGGACCCTAGAGTTGATATTCCTGTCTTTGTCTTGTGTCCAACCCCATTCTGCTGGGTCAAATTCCAAGTTCCTCACTGCCGTCTCTGGTCTAAAGATCTGTTTTGGCCATTGACCTAGCACTCTTATTTTTCGAAGTAAATAGAACTCCATAACTACCGTCTCCACTTCCTTGTTAAATATCAATGGCCTGCCTTGAAGCGACGAAGAAATCGGGAAGGACGAAAAGACGCCTTGTGTGGTCGACCCCGGGTGTATATGAGAGAATTGATATGCTCTTGAGGGGGAGCATTCCTGCACCTTAAGTCCCCACTCCCTAGTCTTCCATGGTATGGCTTCCTTTAAGATATCTTTCCAGTTTGTTGGGATTTTATCCAAGATATAGTGAAGGTTGGGTCCTCTTTTATGACAGCCCTTCAGTAGCGTGTTCAATTCTTGTTCATTTATCCATTCCTTTCTTTCTTCCTTCCATAGGTGACCAATCGTCCATACTCCGTTTTTGACCCAAGAGAGCCATCTCTGTTCTAGAACAAGGGGATTGTTTGCCTCGTCAGTCATTCAACTATTACCAAAAAGTGGTTGTCTTAGGACCTCATCTACGGACCTTGGCCTGTTTACTCTTTTTGTTATTATTTCTCTCCATATCCGGATCAGGGCCGACCAGTATGGGGTGGTGAATCTGCCCGCATCTTGGGCTGGTTCGTCTCTCCGCCTTCTCCTGCCTGTTTTGAGTTTCCATTCCCTAGTCATTATCCAAAACAGTCCGACCATATTTTCGTGAGAGGTTAGGTGCTAGAGCCCTGATGCTATTGAGTGCCAGTTTATTCTATGGGCTTTCTGGTTTCATCAGCAGTTTGATTACCCATTTGACTTGGAGAGCTTTTGTCTCAGCTTTAGGGTCGATGATACCCAGGCCTCCATAGAGCGGCTTCCTCGTGATGTATTGCCATGCAATCTTGGGTATGCTGTTCCTTTTATTGGAGTTCCCCCGACCATAAGTAATTCCTAGCTGAGCAGTTCAATTCCTTTAGTGAGTTGTCCGGTATTGTCCATATCGAGGTAATGTACCACATCATCGAGAATACCGAGGTGTTAAGTACCAGAGCTCTGCCAATTAGTGAGGTGAAGACACTCCCCCATCTCCCTAGTTTATTGATTTGTTTGGTTAGGATGTTTTGTGCCATCTGAGGAGCTAGACCGTCCTTAGTGATCAAGATAGCCAGGTAGCGGGTGGGTGTTTCTGGTGTATCCCATGTCATAGCCGACTCTGGACCCTGAAGAACTGGAAGATCTTCGTCTGAAAGCCACCACCCAATAGTCTTTTTCCAGTTTATCTTCATCTCAGACGCTAGTCTAAAAGCCTCCATCGCTTTGGCCAATAATTTGAAAGAGGAATTAGAAGCCCGAATCAGGACTGTCAGGTCATCGACAAACATGATGGCTGTCGGGAAGCTCATATGGTGTGCTGATCCGGCATTGACTTCCGGGAGTCTCTGAACTGAGGGGTCTTTCCTTAGAAATGATGCGATGGCTTCCATCACGAATAGGAAGATCGATGGTGCCAGAGGGTCTCCCTGTCTGACTGATCTGGATATTGGGTAGCTTTCAGACAGGAATCCATTGACCTGTACACAGCCCATGGCATCATTGTATAAGATTCTGATCCACTTTCTGAAATTCAGTCCCACTCCCATCCGTTCATACGACCAAGTCAATTGGTCCTTCATGGATGCCAGCATGGAACGGATGGGAGTGGGACCGAATTTCAGAAAGTGGATCAGAATCTTATACAATGATGCCATGGGCTGTGTACAGGTCAATGGATTCCTGTCTGAAAGCTACCCAATATCCAGATCAGTCAGACAGGGAGACCCTCTGGCACCATCGATCTTCCTATTCGTGATGGAAGCCATCGCATCATTTCTAAGGAAAGACCCCTCAGTTCAGAGACTCCCGGAAGTGAATGCTGGATCAGCACACCATATGACGGTCTATTCCTTTCTTTGTCTTTTTGTGCTTCTTGAACTGTGACATCTTGGATGGTCTCAAAGTTGTGTTTTGCAGTGTGAGTTGGGCAGGATCATAACACAGCCTAATGGCTGAATGGCACACACACTTAACTGTGGATAAACAAGCTAAGCGTTCAAATCCTGTTGGATACAATAGTGTTGGGGGGTACCCCTTTGAAAAAGGAGCAGAATGTTCACTGGGTGCAGTAAAGTTGATGACGAGGGACGGTTAACAGGGGCCCAAATATTCGCCGTTTTCGTTGGCAATTGCAGTGCGAATTTCATCAAAATAAAAAAAAACAAACGATATGCAAAAAAACAGCACAATATGACAGTTTCAGTGCAATTCGGTGCAAAATTCGTCGAAAATAACACCCATGGTTAACCACGTGTGATGACTTGACCACAAACGACTGTCACCTCAGCAGAACTGTGAGAGTGATGGCTGCTTCTTGCAAATCCACCAGCAGGTGCTATATAGCACGCAATGGATGCAGAAGAATCCATTGGGAGTGAGAGAGGGAAGAAGACAATTCAAAACATTCACTACCAACTCAAGGTCTGGCCAAATGTGGCTACAATTTGGTCTTTTTTTTTTTTTCTTTTTTTTTTTTTCACTAGATTAGTGTGAACGTAGTGTGAATGGACTGGGGGTTAATGCCAGACAAAGCACAACTGTAGCCGAATTGAATTCTTCCACCCATCCTGCAGGACAGCTAACCAAAAAATAGAATTCTGTGACCCATTTAACGATCCTGAGCTTCGTGAACAATATGGGTGTTGGTTCTGGTCTGTGAAGAGAAACAAGTGCTGCAAGCAGCAGCAGCAGAAGAAGAAGAAGAAGAAGAAGAGCTAATTCAGTACTGTAGTTCGGGAAGAGCTAATTCAGTACTGTAGTTCGGTAATTGACTCAAGCCAAGAGTACTTTGGTTGTTTGTCAGGGAAACACAGATCGCGTAGAGAATCGACCAGAGAAAGGTCCATCTAATCTTTTGCGAGGGGACAGCGCTCATGCTCGTCAGACTGGACATGATTGTTCCCGCAGCTCCGAGTCAGTTTCTCCTGTCCTCGCCCCTGACGAACAGGGGAGGTCAGACAGGTCAGAGCCTGTGGAGCATCATCATAAAGGAACCAAAGCTATGAGAGAGCAAGAACGAAGAGATCGGCGGGGTCCAAGAGACCCGCGGGACAAGTCATCTTCTGTACCAGGAGTAAGTGGTAAACCAAGGTCCTCCCACCATTCTGTTGGATCAGACCCTGGATCAAACATCACTACAACAGCATCCTTGCCAGCAGGAAGTATGGCAGGGATTACCTTTGAGCACGCAGAACCACCTGCTGTGTCCTTTTTTCCGGTAACCGGAAGCCGGTCTCACTCAACAGAAGATGCAATTGTTCCTGGAACCCTGCCTCATAGTGGAGGTCAAGGAGGTGGATCTGAGCCTGCAGTTCCTGGTACCAGATCTGCATATCCTGGTCCTAGATTTGCAGTTCCTGGTCCTAGACGTGCAGCTCCTGGTGCTAGATCTGCAATTCTTGGTCCTGGATCAGCAATGGTCTCCCAGCTTTCTGAGTCTTCACTTGCCACTCTCACAGACCCCACCAATCATCAGGCATCTGCACGAAGCTTGCTACATAGTCGAGCACCTAGTGAAGATGAACATGTCCATGATCAAGGTCAAGGGAGGTTGGCTGCTGCTATACGTATCCCTAGTGCTGAGATAATGTACAGGACGTCGAGTGTCCCAAATCTTGCGCCACAAGAACTAGCAGCAGCCGCCTTGCAGGAAGCTGATTCGGATTCTTCGGCACTGGAATCAGGAGGATCCCTGGTGATAGACTCGAGGCGTGACGACTTCTACGATCGGACAACAGACATTTCAGCACGAGGGAAAGCTCATCAGCAACAGAGGATGTCTGCGAGGATCGCTGGAGGGGCATCAAGCGATCATCTAGCGTCCTCATCAGATGTCAGCCACGCAGGAAAACTTGAACACAGCTCGGGCCTTCGCAACCCCACCTCACCTCAGGGTTCTGAGAATGTGTCACAGCAAGGCAAGCTCATGACTAGAACTGATTTCGGACAACAATCTCTGCAGAAAGGAGAGGGCCTTGAGGCTAATCAAGGATTTGCAGTGAATAACAGAGTGCTGCGTGGCATGGTGGAACCAACGACCCAGGAGTTGCAATATGATCAGATGGGAAAGCATCGTAATGGGTCTGATATGCTTGCAGCTCAGAGCATTGTGCAGGTAATAACCGTCCCGAAGAGAACTATACATGCCCACAACCCGTCTTTCATCTGTGATCTACATGTATTGTTGACATGGACCAACACAATTTCCCCTTTATTCGATTTGCCCTGCGCTCGTTTGGGTTTCATTGTTCTTAGCCCTGCTGCTGAAGCACCTTCAGAGTTCGAGAGAATCTGAAAGTTAAAAAAAGGTGACGGCCTTGAGATATCATCATTGATGATTGAACTGACCGGCCCCAGGCAATTCAACATGCTTTTGTTCTCTTCATCTCATAGTATCTGGATTCGAAGTTGAGTCTGTATTTCAACAGTTCATGGGGTGTACCAACTGAGCTAGGCCCGTTGGTGAGAGAATCTAGAAGTTCGTCCAAAAAAGAAACAATGTAAAACCTTTCGAGAGTTCTGGACAATCTGAATAAATATAAAACTTATCCAAAACTTATCTAAGACTTGAACGCCAAAATTTCCAAAAGTTGGCAACCCAGGCCATACATACCATCTTCCCCCGAACACGGCGCACCCTCATTTCGCCTTTACCTGACCGGAAATATAGCTTGTATACATTTATTATCAGGGTGCGTTAGGTTGGGGGGAAGGCGGTAGCTTGGAACCTAAAGGGGTACCATAAGAAGTCCTATCTTGCGATGCTTTCAAACTCTGAAACAAACTTGGAAACCTGAACTGTGCTGTCTTGCGTGTCACAGTCGTTTGTTTGTTTGTTTGTTTGTTTGTTTGTTTGTTTGTTTGTTTGTTTGTTTTAAACAGATCCTTATGGGCCTGGCTCCATTTCCATTCTGGGGAGCATCAGTCCGGTTCCTTTTCCACCGGCAAGTCAGAATAAAATATTACATCATGAAAACACACTCACACTTCCTTCCATCTGGCCGAAGGAACCCTGACCAGCATTGATTACTCTTGCATAATGGAGGATTGACTGTCAGCTTGCCTTACTTCCACCTTTCCTCTCAGGTCCATTGCACAAACCTGTCAGATGACTAATAAAGAGCAAGAAACGTAAGAGAAGCCACGGAAGTTACAGTCCCGGAATTTGCCCTTCAATATTATGTGACCTGTGATGGATCTTGTCCTTCTGCTGACTGGAATCTCTGTCTTCTCCACCCTGCTTCTGAGTTGTGCCAGACTTTCCATCGTATGTGAGAGACATTTATCTCTGCCACTTTGCCCCTTGCAAGCCACACCTTAGTGAATTTTGTCTTGATTCTTCTCTGTTGCTCTTCATCATCTGGCATGGACTGTCTCGTCTTGTGCCATTTACAAAGGATCTCCGCCTGAATCAAAGTCCTTGTCTCCGCCCAAACCTTCTCCCTTGGAGTTGAGAGTCCCTCAATGGTTCTACAACACCTTTCCTTCCAGATGGACCAAAGCGTTACCTTTCTGATCATTCCAAACCACGTTTTCTCTGCTTGTCGAATTGAGCTGGGATGTTAGTCCATAAGAGGAGTTGGATGGGGTGTTCAGGGAGGGAAGTCGAGAAGAGGGAGTCCCAGAGATCCGAGGCCCTCGCCCAATATTCTGTCGCCTCTCTACATCGTATCAGGCAATGTAGCATATCTTCTGGTTCATTTTCTGAACACACCGCACATAAATCTGAACTGTTAGGGGCATTCTTGCTTCTTCTGATGTGTAGCCATTGGTTAACCGGTAGAGCTACGTATGAGATGAGCCATTGGAGGCTTCTGATTTTGACCGGACGAATTGACTTGAATTTTTTCCACGGTATTTGTGGTATCTGATTAGCATCCTGATCTATTAACTTCTGCCATCTGTTCCTGATCATTGGGTCAGGATCCTTTGTTTTGAGAAGTAGGTTGTAACCCAGTTTGACTGTGTATTCTTGAATGGAAACATTAGTTTTGAGGCTTCTATTTCTGTGCAATGACTTGCCGGTTTCTGGTCGTCTGTTGCCTCTCTCTTGTCGAGGCTGTACTATCTGTAGGTTAGATTCGTTATTTTGTTGGCTAAGGGCTAACCAAGAGACCTGCCTGTAAGGAAAATTCGTGAGGGACATATTTGTAAATTCGGGAAAATACAGGCCCGTACTAACTGAATTTCCTACAGCTACCCTAACTGCGAATAGCAGACCCAGACTACCCCTAGGACAGACAGGCCTCCTCCTCCTCTCCTCTTCCTTCCTCCCCTTTCTCTTCTCCTACTCATCAATGTTCCCTCATTTCCTTTTTGTTCTTCTTCCTCATCTTCTCTCTCTCCATAGACACTTTCCAAAGCTTAGAGTAGGTAGTAGGAGGCTTTTTCACTAGTAGTGGTCTCCCAATGGGCTCATCCTTCTCTCCCATGAGAATCGCCACTTCCCTTCTTGTGATTTCATGCATGAGAGTGAGTTTCACTCACTCTCACATCACTTTTTTCCCATTTTCTCACTTGGTAGCAAATCGCAACTTTGTATTGTGCTTGTTCTAGTGTTTTGATGATGTTTCACTCTTGTTTAGTCCATTCTTTCACTCCCATGTGAATCGCCACTTCCCTTCTTGTAATTTCATGCATGACAGTGAGTTTCACTCACTCTGACTTCACGTTCTCTCCATTTTCTCACTTGGTAGCAAATCGTAACTTTGTTTTGTGCTTGTTCTAATGTTTTGATGATGTTTCAATCTTATTTAGTCCATTCCTTCACTCCCATGTGAATCGTTGTCGGCCCGAATACCCTTATAAGGGTATTTGGGCACATTTTTGCATCTTGCAGGTGCGTTTTTGACAATACTCAAGAGATTGACCCATTTCCGTATGACCATAACCAACTCTCAGGGGTTGGGGATGGCACGGACTTTTGATCTGATTAGCGAGTGCGTGGGCATGCACTTCGAGGGCACGCATGGGTTTTAGGTGGACATTGGATATGTTTATGAGAGCAGTGTCCGCACGTGGTAGCGTGAATTAGAAAGGGAGTGTGAAGAAACTACAGTAGCGCACGCGGTGCACGTTCACGTTCGAGTCCGCCAGTTGATGATCGGGGCTAAGATGCAGTCGTCGGATCCGTTTGACTTACATGCGACGGGATTAGGACCAGTGAGGTGCAAAGTGCTTGACTTCTTGGGCCGCCCATGATATTGGTCAACGACAGAAGTCGTGGCGACACTATAAAAGTTGGGGTTTTTCCCGACGCCTAGGTGGTAGAAGTGGAGCATTTCGGGGGAGATAACCTAGTAAAAAAAGTTGGAGTGACGGCGCGGTTGCGTCACATGCACGACGGCGGCAGGTAAAACTGACCCCTTCGCACAACGGGGCCGGGTGCGTAGGAGCCATAGACATGGCCAGAGGGCCAAAGAAACAATTTTTTTTTACGTTGTCTGACAAGGCCTTGGGCAAGCACGGATACCCTTTATAAGGAAGTCCGCCCTTATCATATCCAAGTTGGGCCTTGCCCTATAGGTTACAACTTTGGATTGAGACTACTAAGATCTGGGGATCGAGGCCACCAGCCAATTGCGAAGGAGTGGAGGAGTGTCTTATGGAGAAAACTGAGGGGTTGAGGGTCTTGCACTATCCCCCTTAGTTTTGCTGGGAAGTTCGATCGCGGGCACAACTGGCAAGACCGAGGGAGTACTAGCGGGTCCCTCCTTCCCACCCTCATCGGCTTCTTTTTCTTTATTCTTTATTCTTTATTTATTGTTATTATTATTACTTATTTTGGTCCGGGCCCGGTAGCGGTTTAGTTCTGAGGCCGTGGGACCCAAGAGCATAGCTCGGTGGGTACACCATTGAACTGTTGAAGTATAGGCCCGTGTTCAAGCCTAGGTGATGAAACTTGATGAGTAAAAAAAAATATTAGGCATAGGTCAGCTTGGTGGTGATATTTCTAACTTGTCGTCCTGACGTGGTCCCTCGGGACATTCGGAGAGATACTTAGACTCATGTATACATCATCATGCCCGGCGGGCGTTTCCTTTTTGCCAATAAGTAGTCCGAGGTCCGACATAACCGAGGTTGAGAGTTCGGTTTTCTGTCGGACGGACCGATCGAGAGTAGGGAGGGAATCCTTGTTGGCAGGGACGAAGACGGGGCGGATAGGTGCATGGCGGAAGAGATTTCCATCAGAGTAGCGAGGGCTGATGGACAGCGCCACCAGACAGTTGTGGGACTGAGCGATGTGAAGATGGGAGGCCGCTGCGATGGTGATCTACAACTCGTGTGTCGGACTTGGGTATGGTGGCGAAAGACTAGGCGATTTGTCGAATAGTTGGTTCCCTTCGAAGCCTCCCTCGGTTTCCCCGTTGTAGGACCGGCCGCTGACTGGCACTGCGTTAGCTCGAAAGAGGACGTGGGGGAAAAAATTTAATGAACATAGACACGGGTAGGTACATCCGAAGATGATGAAGAAGGAGGTAAGAGAAAGAATGAGTATGGCGGGGGGGATAAACTAGAACTCGCTCAATCCGGAACGGATTTGAGCGATGTAAAGGCCGAACTTGGGGTTTTGAAGTGCTGCGAATGAGATGGTGGTGACGGATTTTTGAGTCAGGCACCGGTTTGACGGCTGTGAACGGTAGAGGCTCCGTGAAATCTTTGGCACGATTCTGAATATCTCCGTGTATATCCCCTTGTTTTGACAAAATATTCATTTTCAAATTTGCTCAGTCTGGTGAATAGTGCAGCAGGCTGATGGGCCATACTAGTTTGAGAGAGAGAGAGAGAGAGAGAGAGAGAGAGAGAGAGAGAGAGAGAGAGAGAGAGAGAGAGAGAGAGAGAGAG